GAGTTATTCTGTCATGTTTTCTCCCTTTCTTTCCAAACCGCAACAAACGCCAGTCTCCCTTCTCTGCAGAATGCGATATATCCGCTCAACCAATCACAGTGCACCATTCCATGCACTCTAGACAGTAATGGCAGAGCTTTGAATACACCCGGCATCCTAGTTTTCCTCTTTGGGCTGCACGATAAATCGCATGTGATTGTAATGCACATCTCGTCAGTAAAGCCGGTTCTGTGATTAATAGTAAATCTCCATCACGTGCTTTCAGATGGATACACAGAGCCGTAGATCACTGACTAAGGAATATTGCGTTCATAATCGCAGATGAGTTGCATTCGATTATGAACGCGAGCGATATTGCGTAGCTTGTCAGTGTAAGTGTTTTTATTAATGCCATTTATGTTTTTGGTAATACAGCGAATAGCACTAGTCAACTAAATGAATGTAACATGGCAAAGATGAATGCACTTTTGGAAGTTGAATGTAAGGGAAATGTCATTTTGGAATTTCTGTGGTCTAATGTGATATTGTTGTTCTTGTTCATGATGAAATTTTCTTTAATTTAATTTATAATTAATTAATTAATTTATAGCATTAACAAGATGACCCGTTGAATTCATTTTGGGAGCGATTAATGTATTTTTAGTCCAGTGCCTGTATATAAGATTAGTTTTGACCAAGTTCAGAGGCTGTCATATGTGGATTAACCATGTTGTGTATTTTCAACAGTTTCAATATGAAAAATAACTTTTATTGTTATGAAGGGATTAGACCATTAGGGGGCAATACTAACTGTTCCTTTAAATATCGGCCACCTCACTTCCTCTCTGAGCACATGGCAATGGTGCAAGCCATTTAAAGGAGAGTTGAGGCCTAGACAGCAGTGATGGCAATGACTGGTTTATTTGTTATGTGGACTACGTGCCTGCATCAAGTGTAAGTTGCCACTTTGTATTTCACATGAGGAGATATATTGTTTGTGCTAGATGAATTGTTTGTACAGATTGTTGGTTGAGGAATGGGCCATTATGGGGGCGATACTAACTGGTAGGTATAACTCCAAGTAGGTATAACTGCAGACTGGAGATCTACAAAATGGGGCGTGAACTCCAAAAGTGGGCAGAACCTCCAAAATTGGGCGGGGTCTCCACGAGCAAAGACTTTCACCATTGGCTCTGGCTCCAGCCAATTGTTATTGACTTACATTTCAAAATAAAACTTTATAAATGTAACATTGTTTCTAGTTAATCTAAAATTAAATATGCTATATAAATAAATATTCTCCGTGAGAGCAGAGCCCAAAGCTCGTGGCCAGTGGTGTTCGGACTGGAGTTTGAACCTCTGCTTAATGATATAAACGGGAATCACCCACGAGCTCTCCTGCGAGCCGTCCCAGTGCAGCGCAGGGGAAAGATTTCACTCCATCGCTTTGTTCTAAGCAACGGGGGCGTCCCGGGGCTCGAAATTCGCAGGGAAGGAGTGGGTAGTGATGCTGGGTGTAACTAAAAATGTGCCATTGTCCGGTGAGGTTCGGTTGGGGGGTTTGGAACGATCTCATATCGCATAATCTTATTAACTGTTTATCTCCTGAACTGCATCTTTCTTTACCAGCTATTCAGCGCCAATCCCGCCATGCAGTCAATTTCACTGGTTAAGGTTAGGGTCAGGTGTGGGGTAGGTTTAGGGGTTAGCATTTTTTTGTAGCATAATGTAGGAAATCAACACTTTAGAATCAGCTGTGGGGTGGAGTTTGCACTGAAGTGGATTGGGGGAAAAAATTGCGCATGCGTGTCATGTGCCTGTCTATCAATGGGAGGAAGCCACGCCCTATTTTGGAGCTCCCACCCCGTTTTGGAGTTCCCGCCCCCATTTGGAGATCTCTGGGCTGCAGTTATACCCTTCTCTAAATATCGGCCACCTCACTTCCTCTCTGAGCACATGGCAATGGTGGAAGCCATTTAAAAGAACAGTTAGTATCGCCCTCTAATGGCCCATTGCCTTCATAACATTTATATTGATTCAATGGATTTATTGCATTTTGAAAAAAAATAAATAAATCAATAAAAAAAAACGTGTCATGGATTTATTGCATTTTGCGGAAAAAATAATAAATTTTTATAATAAATATTTGAAAATCAAAATCTGGATTTATATATATTAGTTTTCATATATCATATATATAAAACTTTTTAAAATATAAAATGTATGTATGTATGCAGCCATATAAACCTGTAGCCCAAGACTGGTTGCCCACTGAAGCTAAGCAGGGCTGAGCCTGGTCAGTACCTGGATGAAAAACTAGGTTGCTGCTGGAAGAGGTGTTAGTGAGGCCAGCAGGGGGTGCTCACCCTGTGGTCTTTGTGGGTCCTAACGCCCCAGTATAGTGACGGGGACACTACTGTCAACAAGCACCGTCCTTCGGATGAGACATTAAACCAAGGTCCTGACTCTCTGTGGTCATTAAAAATCCCAGGATGTCTTTTGAAAAGAGTAGAGGTGTGACCTCGGCATCCTGGCCAAATTTGCCCATTGGCCTCTGATCATCATGGACTCCTAACAATCCCCATATCTGTTAATTGGCTTCATCACTCTGTCTCCTCTCCACCAATAAGCTGGTGTGTGGTGGGCATTCTGGCGCACTATGGCTGCCGTCTCATCATCCAGGTGGATGCTGCACACCGGTGGTGGATGAGGAGATACCCCTGACAATGTAAAGCGCTTTGGGTGCCTAGAAAAGCACTATATAAATGTAATGAATTATGTTTATTTGCAACAGTTAAGCTAACAACAATAAAGACATATGCCAGTAAAACAGCGACATCTGCTATATATATATATATATATATATATATATATATATATGTATATAAAATTTAAAAATGTTTCTTTTTCATATCGTATGATTTACATTTTGTATTGTTAATAATTTTATTTAATAATTAAATTGTTTAAAGATATTTTAGAATTCAAATTGTCTTTATGGTAATGAGAATTTGGGAGAAATATAAATAAGTTTCATGAAAATAATTTGTCATGCTGTAAAAATCTCCAAACAGAAATATGCTTTATTTTCTGCAAAATATACAGTTTTCCCTTTAGATTTTGGCATGAAATAATACCTAGAAGGCCCTCACCTCTCCATTTCCGTGCACCACAGGATATCCTCTTTATTGTTCATGTAGACGGGGTAGTGCTGGTCTTTGCCCTGTTTTATTGAGTTTGAGCGAGTTGTGATGGTTCGCACTTTTCCGAACTGAAAAAAAATAGAAATAGAAATTCAGCTCTGCCTCAACAAGCCTCAAAACTCAAGACTCCATGTGAAATGAAATCTGGATATAGTCAACAACCTACAAAAAAAACATCAGGAATAATGACCTGTTCAAACTATCTTTGATTTTCATGTACAACAAAACCTTCAAAATGAACCCACACACCTTAGCTGTGCGTCCATATTCCAGACAGTCTTGCAGTTCGAGTCTATCATTCATCATGGCAGTCAGAGGACTGAGAGAGAGACAGAGAGAGTTTATCTTGTTTTTCTGATGTTCACTCTTCATGCCTGTTTCACATGTAACTCAAACAATAACATCTAATCTCACTCATACAGCAGATTTTCAAGCAGTCGTACCGGTTCATTCCAGGTAAGTTTCCCCAGAAGTATCGAGCTCTGTGTGCAGCAGACACCTCCTTAGCATCGATCATTACTGGATTACACTGAACACAGACATAACCGTTATATTAACCATTATATTGCAGAAAAAAGTCAAGTTTAGGCAAGATTTTGTCATGTTTTGTCTCTTATGCTCATTAAGGCTGCATTTATTTAATCAAAAATACAGTAAATATTGCGAAACATGATTGCAATTTAAAATAACTGTTTTCTATTTGAATATATTTTAAAATGAGTTTTAATCCTGTAATTTAAAGCTGAATTTTCAGCATCATTACTCCAGTCTTCAGTGTCACATGATCTTTCAGAAATCATTCTAATATGCCGATTTGATGATCAAGAAACATCGATTATATATTTATTATTATTATCAATGTTAATAAACAGTTATAATATATTTTAATATTTTTTGTGGAAACCGTGATACATTTTTTTCAGAATTCTTTGATGAAAAGAAAATGCAAAGGAACAGCATTTATTTGAAATCTTTTGTAACATTATAAATGTATTTACTGTCACCTTTGATCAATTCATGCATTGTTGCTAAATAAAAGTATTAATTTCTATGCTATATATTCTATATATATATATATATATTTGCAGTGTGCAGTGACTCTAAAATGTATTTAGACACGGCCTGGATGTCACAGCATTAGATAAAATACTAAAAATAATACTAACGTAAAAAAACATTTTAAACGGACAAAATAAATATTATACAGGTGCATCTCAATAAATTAGAATGTCGTGGAAAAGTTCATTTATTTCAGTAAATCAACTCAAATTGTGAAACTTGTGTCTAAGTATTCTAATTTGTTGAGATAGTGAATTGGTGGGTTTTTGTTAAATGTGAGCCAAAATCATCACAATTAAAAGAACCAAAGACTTAAACTACTTCAGTCTGTGTGCATTGAATCTATTTAATACACGAGTTTCACAATTTGAGTTGAATTACTGAAATAAATGCATTTTTCCACCTCATTCTAATTGATTGAGATGCACCTGTATTTTCATACAGTATAATAATTAAATATTTATTGTATTTTAAATAAATATAATGAATTGATGAAAACAACTAATTCAAAAACACTTAATAAAATAAATAAAGTCACTGCATTAGATACAATTGTAACCCTAGTCTTAAAGCTACAGAAAGCAAAACATTTCACCGAAAATTCCGGTTTTAAATGATAAAACAATAGATGTAGTGTTGAAAATGAAGTAAATGACTTCGTGTTTGTCAGATGTTAGTGGAATTCTGAAATTTTTCAGTGTCCAAATACAGTTTGTGCGCAATATCTGTTATATGTACAACCACAAGTGGGCAGCGCTTATAACAGCATACATGATTCACTCTGTGCATGTGAGTGTGTGTTTGTCTCGAGTGTGCACACACCTCCAGAAAGCGTGAGATGTCTCTCTTGTCACTGATTCCCATGGCGACGACATTTTCAAACAGCCAGAAGAATGGTCGCTCGTCTCCTTCTTTTGGTCGCGCTTCATGAAGCAGCCGGTAGAACTCAAAGAACAGACGCCCGGTGCCCTCTACACACAAGAAAAAAACTCATTATAACAAATGCATCAGTATGCACACATACTTTGTGGTTTTGCTGCTGGAGAGTGAGTGTCGTACCGAACAGGCCTTTCCTGGCAGGGTTGACGATGGACAGATCGTTACAGGGGCTTCCACCGATTACGAGATCAAACGGCCCCCACTCCTGAAGCTACAGGGAAACACGTGACGCAAACAGAGAGAGACGTCAGAAATGTGTCGAATATAAAAGACAGTGAGGGACAGAGAGAAAGACACATGCTCACATGCTTGCGTGTGATGTTCCTGACGTCTCCCACATACATGATATGTCCGTGGTGTCGCACGATCCCCACCGTGATGGAGTCCTCACACACCTCTGACGCCACATACCGCTCCACCTGAATGCCCAGATCCTTCAGCACCAGCAGCCCTGACAGCAAAACACACACACACAGGCTTATTCACACTACCACATGAGTTTGATCAAAGAGACAGTTCACTAAAAATAAAAGAAATTATGTGCAATACTGTTCATTTTATTGTTGTACAGTTTTTCAAAATTACATTTATTTTGCTAACACTTTACTTAAAGCCTTTATTTATAATGCTTTATAAAAGTAGTTTTAATGCATTAATTATGCCTTGTAATTCCTTATAATGCATTGGACAATCTCATGAATTCTAACACTAATCAACTCATTGTTACACTATGCCTTTTAAATTCTGTTATAATTATTTACGACAAGATATATAATGTATTACAAGGCACATTATGAATCATTATAATGTCCCTTTAATAACACTTTATTAATGCATTCTACATAAAGTGTTACCTTTTATTTTTTTATTAATAGATTTATATATATTTTCCATTTGTTGTTTTTATTTTAATGCTATTTTCAAATTTACTGTAAATTTCAGTTTTATTTGCACAGATGACTCCATCATCATGCAATAAAAAAAAGAGTATTTATTTATTATTTATTTACTTGTGTATATCAGCTAGTTGTTTCTTGTAGTCTTAAGTTTTCATTTACTTGAATATTTAGTATATTTTAATTCAATTACATGTTTTTAAAGCAATTGTTTTCATCAATTCCCTATCAATTCAATACCACTTTCACTGACACAGATTACTCCATAATCATGTGACTATGAAATAAATATTTATTTATTTACTTGTCAGTTTTAGTTTTCTGTAGTTTTAGTTTTCATTTAATATTTTTTACTTCAATTTACTAACATGTAAAAAAAACCTGTCAAATTATTTTCATTAAATCACTTTAAATTTCAGTTGTATTTACACAAACAACTGTATGTATGTATGTATGTATGTCAGTTAGTATTAGGTTCTTGCATTTTTAGTTTTTATTTACTATATCTATTTCCTACTAACAAAAAATGTTTTTAAATGAATTGTTTTCATCAATTCACTTCTCAAATTTCAGTTTTACTCACACAGACAACACCATGATCATGCGACTACAATGTGATTATTTATTTATTTATTCATTAAAAAAAAATTAAACTTATTTTATTTCACCAAGTTGCCAAGGCAACATTTCTAATTTTTGTTGAGTTTAACTTGAAGTACTAAAATAACTAAAACCACTGAAATGAATAAATAACAATTAATAAAAAACTGTAGACAAAAAAACAAAAATGACAAAAACAGAACAAAATGACTAAAATTTTAAATGAAAAAGAAAACAGCAAATATATAAATAAAATGTAATTCAAAATATTAACAAAAGCTATAAAAGTATCTCAGTGATATTAAAGTAGCACAGGTGTGATCTCACCTGTAGCGATGCCATCAAATAAAGAAAGCACTCTGATTGGCTGCCTCTTCTCTGCTGACATTGGTGAATACAACTTTGTTGGTTCCTGAGAGGAAAATAATGGACAGATTTTTTTTTTCTACAGAGGTCATGAAATGCATTTTTTAAAATTATTTTATAACATTTCCCGAGGGGCATTTACAATTCTTAGTATGATTTAAAAAAAACAAAAACAAAACATAATTTAGTTATAAATGTCCATTTCCATGCTGAATTTGGCCTCTGATTTGAATGCTCTGTTGAAAGGGACGTGTCTGCAATGAGTCAATGGAAACGCCCAATGATGTGATTGGCTAACATCTTTGCATATTACATAAGCATTACACATGTGTAATGCTCTCGAAAACATTTAATGTGTTTTTACTATAGCAGCCACCAAGAAGAACAAATTTTGAAAAGTAGTGTTCATTTTGTTAGCCTTTTTTAAAATTTATTTAGTCTTAGTTTTTTTAATTAGTCTTAGTCCTGAAACGAAATCTTAGTCACATTTTCATCATGCTGTATAATGGTTAACCTGATAAAAAAAAGTGCATGCATGGTTGCCAGATTGCAAAATTAAGCAAAACACCAAGCAGAAAATTTATCCTTTTAACAAAGAAGCTCTGGTTTGGGGATCTAGACACTTATCCGGCAACCGTACACATGAAAGTTTGTGTTTTAGAGGCGTGAACAGCAGTCCGCAATAATATTTTGTCTCCATTTTTGACAAAAATAAAAACAGGTTTTGGTAAAGTTTTAAATTTTTAAAATACATTTTAGTCTCATCTTTTATCGCCAGCGATATTGCATGTTGATATAATCACAGTTATCATTTATTTACCTTATTGTTGCTTCGTCATCGTCTCATTTTAGTCATGGGAAAAAAGCTTGTCAACAAAAAATTTTCGTCATAGTTTTCGTTAACCAAATTAACATCTGGTGAAAAGTGTTGATTATAGTATTATTGACCAGTGATTTCATAAGGGTGGAAAAGAATAATTCGTATTTTAAACTGGAGTTATGAAATGTGTAAACATAAAGAACATCTTGATTCTCCATTTCCTTTAACTTTCATTTGTGCTATTAGTTAGTCTTTATGACTGTAGTAGAAAAATCTTGTTGAATTTGTGTCAATACTGCTAAGACACACTAGATCGACTCACAAAGTCCTGGTCGTGGTTGTTGGCGAAGAACAGCTGCAGTCGTGAGGTCCAGTCGTCTCTGCGCTTCAGGAGGCCCGAGTCGTTCCTGCTGCAGCACATGTAGCAGTTCCAGGGGTCTTCGCGGATAGCGACCTGTGCGGATCCGGACCCCACGAGCAGATCGACACACTCCACACAGAAACACCTACACAAAGACACAGGTAAGGCCTTTTCAGACTGAACGTGAAAGTCAGTGTGATGACGCTTTTGCGAAAAAGCGAGGATTTTTTTGTTCATCCTGTGTGTCAATTTTTTCCCCGTCGCTCCGCGATGAAACAGGCCGTCCATTTTCTACTGAATTATGTGATATGAAAAGCACTGTCCGTTTTCTTCCATGTGTGCAAGTGTTTTTAATCAGAGAGCGTTCACTCTAGTCAATCATATCTCTGCATATAAAAGAATTGAGAGAAACATTTTTCTACAAATGAAAGCAAATAGACATATGATTATGACGATACATTTTCTGTATGTGTTTTTATGCAGTTCATGGTATTTTTATAATAATAAAGGTGACAAATGATAAGCAGGTGTAGTGTTTAATCTATTATATAACATAAAAAGATAGCGTGTCAGCCTATTATAGAATTAAAATAAAGACAACAATGTGCACATATGTTCAAGTTTAGCTTGATGCTAATATTTTAAGATGTATTCTGGTAAGCATTATAGATAGTTTGTGTTTCTGGTGTAGAACCAAACCTTACCTTAATTTATTGCTGTATACTAAGCAGCGGACAATGTTAAAGGGGTCCTATTATGCTTTTTCATTTTTTCAACTTTAGTTAGTCTGTAATGTTGCTGTTTGAGCATAACAAAGATCTGCAAAGTTACAAAGTTCAAAGTCCACTTCAAAAGGAGATATTTTATTTAACAGAAATCACTTTTCAAAAACTACAACGATCGACTCGTTTGGACTACAATGCATATTTTCTGGGATTTGTGATATCACAAATATCGACGAATGGGACGAGACCTGGTTGAGCTGCACTAGAGAAGGCAACGAGTGTTATCACTATCTTGGAGACATGCTAGTTTTCCCAAGGCAGACAAACTTAGAGTGGTTACAATCATCCGGGTTTAAATAAATATTTGATATTGACGCAATATTTACACTGAAGCTGGCAGGCGGCTATGGTAAGGGGGCGTGACATTTCCCGACCAGGCGCCGAGTGGAGCCAATCACAGCACACACTGGCCCAGCTAACCAATCACAGCACATTTCGTATTTCAGAAGGCGGGCCTTCATTTGATACAGGAACTATTCAAGCCGTTCATGCCAGACTGGGGAGAGAGGTGTTGTAATAATGTAAAATATGTGAAAAATAATGTGTTTTTCGAACAACCTAGTATGAGAGCCTGTTCTAGTACACCCCAAAACAAAATCAAGACTTTGTAAAAGAGCATAATAGGACCCCTTTAAATCCATATAACGTTATGTGATATCTGAGGAAAAATGCATTGTTGGTAAGCGCCACCTAGTGTGCAGGCGTGAATTAGAAAAAGGCGATCAATTGTTTGATCTCTCTCAGATAGCGAACAAACCCACACACACTCACCTGCAGCAGTTGTTGTTCCCACACATGAGCACTTCTCGTCCTCCGCAGCAGATGGTGCAGTATGACTGATAACCGTCATCGTCGTACTGATACGCACACTCCAGGAAAGAGTTCTGTGGGGGAGGAGAACACCGCCTCAGCACCAATCAGAAGTCAGAACAGGCTTGATTGACAGGTGTGTATGTGTACCTTGCAGCTCTGGCACATGGCTCCGATAAACAGAGGATGTTCTAGTGCTATGTTCAGACTTCCACAGGAAATACAAATATCTGCACACAAAACAACTCCATGGTGATGTTTGGAATAGCATGTGACTGTACTATATTATTTATGCAGTATGCATACTGTGCACAGAATGCATGTTTTGACCTATGACCTACCACGTTTGCCAAAATATGCAGTCCGTAACGGAGCACACTGTGTGATATACAGTGATCCCTATGGGGCTTTTACCACTTTAATACAAAATTGTACATTTGAATATCTAATTAAATAAGTATGTACAATTTAAATGAGAATTTTATTCATTCAAATATCTTAAACTATTATTAGCATTTTAATAATTATAGTATTTTAATCATTATATTTCAATATATTTATTATATTTCAAAAGTTATGTATTTAAATATCTATCTATCTATTTACAGTATATATTTAATTATTATTATTTTAATATATGTATATGTGTGTGTAAATATATATTAAAATGCTAATTATATAGTTAATAGAACAATTACATTTCTTATTCATATTAGACTTTAAATATTTAAATATATTTAATAAAAACTATTATTTTAGTTTTGAGGACTGTTGTCAAATGTGTCTAAACTTTAAATAAATAAATAAATATGTAAAATAAAATAAATAAATATGTATATACACACACACATATTGTTGTGTGTATATTAGAGCCTGACGATATATCGGTTTGCCGATTTTATCGGCCTGTCGCAGATATATCGGCATCGGCAAATATGCCGTCAATATGCCACCGATATGAACATTTTTTTACAGAACATAAAACGCAGATAAAATGCTTGTAAATGGTGTAATTACGCTCCATTGTTTGCTACTGGTGACCTGGATGAAACGCTTTAAAGCTTAAATGTATGGAATACCATTGAAACGTTGAATGGCCATATCTCCGTAACGGCGTGGCGGATCCGCACCAAATTTGGCCGATCCCTTCAGCTCGAGGAACCCTCTCAGATGCCAAATCGAGTCTCTCGAGGCCCCCTTTCGAATGCGAACACCCCCGCCATCGAGAGCCGGGTCCGGGAGTTACGGGCGGTTAAATTCGCGGTTGGGCGCCGACCGATCTGGCGATCCCGGGGGGCTACCGACGCACGGAGGGTGGCGTTCGAGAGGGCTCCTCTAGCTGAAGGGATCCCCCGAATTTGGTGGAGATCCACCACCGCGTTCATGAGATAGTGACACCAACACTTTCACTTCAGTAAGGAGGTCTCTTGTTCAGGCAGTAGCATTCAAGTGTTGTCTTATTCGACCGTAAGTGCCCTGCAAAGTTGACTTCACATGATATTCAGCCATGATTTCAGTTCCAAGGGAACGCACACGTTACATTCAAAGGGCATTAAAGTGCGCGAGACGTGAATTTATATTGTATTTATTTACAGAGCTATATTATGTCACACTTCTCTAGTAAGTTTCCTCTGTGTGTGAAGACAGTAGCGCAAATCCGTGAATGAATATTCCGAAGTGAAATAAACTTTAATGGAATTGAATTGAAATAAACTTGAATAAACTTCAACTTTACTGTTCAGTGCACTGATGTCAGACTCATTTTTTATAATAAAGTTTATTGTTAAACTGTCAAATGCCCTGCCTCCATTACATATCTTTGTCACGTCATTATAAGTGTTTGATCACCACATTTGAGTGATTATTGCAAAAAATGTGTTTATGTATATGGGAATATGAATGGGAAAGTGTCCAAACTTTTGACTGGTGCTGTACTATAATATACACAAAGAATATCGGCCGATATATCAATATATCGATATTAGGGGCCTTTTTACTCCCTAATATCGGTATCGGTCCCCAAAAAAAACCTGTATCGGTCGGGCTCTAGTGTATATATATATATATATATATATATATATATATATATATATATATATATATATATACAGTGGGGAAAAAAAGTA